GGCATTAGCACTGAAGAGAGTGGGAAAATTCCACCTTTCTGAATCCCTTTCAGTTCCAGGTTTCCCACTGGGAGTGCCTGAATAGCAGGAGGAAGGAGATAAAGAGCCAGCTGGGCTGAGTGGAGCATCACCATCCTGGGGACCTGTTGTTGCTCTTTCCTCTGGGCTGCCCCAGAGGACCCAGTGCCTGTAGAGAGCTTGAGAGGAACCTCTTCGCCCTATTCAACCCATTGTACTGGCCCTGTTGCCCACAGGGTCTGACCCCAAGTCCTGCATTTGAACCAGGATGTGACTTGGCACTGATGAGTCCTCCCTTTCCCTCCCTTTCTGTCATGCCCCTTTCATTACACCTATCACAGTTTGTTGTTTTAAACTTACTTACTGTCTGTTTGTGCAACTGAATGGTAAAACCCAGGGCTATTTTTAGCACTGCATTCTAGAGCACCAGCAGTATTTGGTACAGTCCATGACTTTCGGAATGAAGGAGTAAGTGAGTGAGTGAATGAATGATTCAGTTGCCTATGCCCTCCTGCTCACTGTGCTACTGCTGACATTCAGTGCAGCATTGCACTTCATCATGACAGGACTCTACCCCCTGCACTAGTTCCATTTTGCCCGCCCCTGGGGAAGAAGCTAAGGGTCTCTGTCCCACCCACTTCTTTTGCCCATTTCTCAGAGAATGATGCTGGGAAAGCTTAGCCTAGGTCCAGTACTGCAGTGTCTCTTTTTCTATTTGAGCCTCCCTAGACCTTTGCCTGCCTAGTACATGGTGCTCTTGCATCATTCATTGCTTTTAATTCTTACTGTCAGTTGGCCTGCTAGCCCCAGGGTGCTGTTCACCTCTATGTCCTCCCCTGGCCACCTGCCCCTTTCAAGACCTGGCAACAGTGAGGGATGTTCAGGTGCTTTCCTTGCTCTCTCCTCTTTTGCATTTCTCACCCTGCTCTTTCCCTCCCTAAGGAGCTCAACATGCCCCAGGACACTGATGATGGAAATTCCTGCCACAAAGAACCAGGGTGACAGTACTGCTACCCCTCCTGCATTCCCAGCTTGTCAGAAGCAGTCATTTCCTGGAGCAGAAACATTGTTTTATAAGTCAAAAAGGCGCAGGGATGTCTTTTTATTATAATTCAGCTAGGAGAACTGAGAGACTTAATGTAGAGAGGGAGAAAGATACATAATCGGGAAAGAACATTCGAATGGGTGCCAAGTCTCTGGAGTGTTATTATGTTATACGGAGATGGGCAAGCTATCTGCTAACTGGTGTTTTAACAGAGCTGCAAAATGCAAAACCTGCAGCATGAAGGACTTAGAAAGATACACAGGATCTCTTATCAGCAAGGATCCTTAACAGGAATGAGTGCGGGGAACTGAGGGCACTCTAGGGAGTCCAGGCTGAAGGTACAATGAATGTGTGACGCTGTCCAAAGCATATACTAAATAGCCAAACACAGCCTTGACTAGGCCATTCTGTAACAGCCAAGGCTGGGCTTGGCCTTTTTTTTTTTTTTTTGAGATGGAGTCTTGCTCTGTCACTCAGACTGGAGTGCAGTGGCACTATCTCGGCTCACTGCAACCTCTGCCTCCCGGGTTCAAGCAATTATCTGACTCAGCCTCTCGAGTAGCAGGGATTATAGGCACCTGCCACCACACCTGGCAAATTTTTGTATTTTTAGTAGAACAGGGTTTCTCCATTTTGGCCAGGCTGGTCGTGAACTCCTGACCTCATGATCCACCCACCTCGGCCTCCCAAAGTGCTGGGATTACAGGCATGAGCCACCGTGCCCCAGCCGCTTGGCCTGTTTTGATTGAGTACTGGATGGTCTACTGGTTGGACCAGTTGAGTTTGCCTGAATCTTGGGAATGCAGGAGTCCTGGGCTTCAGAGAGGATCTGTTCTCTAGCAAGGACAGGCTGCACTGAGGGAAACCTATTTTGTCAAATACTCTGATGTAGAAAAAAGTCTATTTGACATTCAAGTTACACTTTACCTGTGTTAACTTCACTTGTAATTAACAGTCAGTTTTCCAAAATAAAAACTTGGAATGTAAAATTATTGAACAAGCACAAGAAGCCCTAAAACTTACTCCGGGGACTCATCCCAAGTTGCAGGCTTGCTGAATTGGAGTTGAGGGGTGTTGTGACTCAGAGTCTTGATGCCTCAGGAAGAAGTGACTGACATGAATTTTGTATGAAGAGAGGAGCATCAGTCATCAAACCTGAGAGGAGAGTTGAGATTTTGATCAGGGAAAAAACAAACTAAGGGTGAAAAGTTTCAGCAGCTGAACAGAGGTTGGGAGGAGAAATGCAAGAGGGTTTGGGATGAGGGGTGAATGGCAAGGGCACAAAAATGGGGGCTGTGCTGAAGGCCAGTTTGAAAAGGAGGCCAGCTGGTGTGGTATGAAGCAAAGCCTGCTGCATGAACTGGAGTACTCCTGACTTGATTGTCTTAGAATTCTCCTTTGACTCTGATTCCAAGACTTGAGATGTTTTAGACTGCAGAGCCTCAAGATGTGATGTCTCTGAATCTTGGTAGAAAGATGTTGCTTTCTGAGTGGCAGGTGGAAAATAAAACACAAAACAGGCCCATGGGTTGAATTTCTCCTTCTGGCTTAGGAATTTATAACACCTGCAGAATCTGAAGGGCATCAATATCGAGGCTGAATAGGGTGAGGTCACAGTCTGGGAAGTGGTAATTAGAGGAACAGCAGCTTCCTGGGTGTCTGGACAATCACAGATTCCCCATAAGAGATGGAGGGCTGAGGGCAGACCTTGTTTGGAGCACCTCTAACTAGTCTTGCAATAGCATTTGAGAGCCAACTTAGATCTTTCTGCTGGGAAAGGGACACCCTCCCCATCTCCTACCTATTACTGATAGTCCACAGCTGATTGTGGGACTTTAATACATTCATTCATTTGCCATGTATTAAATAGATTTTTTTGTAGGTATAAGCATTTTTATTTGTACATATAAGCAATAAGCTTTGAGTCCTGTGTTTGGAGATTGATATGACGCTGTACTTGATTGAACACTTTGCAGATTCCACATACTTGGGGTGTTGATTACTACAAACAAATAGATATTGGAATTGTAAACTCTAGGTTCAAATCCCAACTCAACATTTATTGATGATATGACTTGGGATTAAGATCCTTAAATGTTCAGAGCCTCTGTTTTTATCATCTATGATATGAAGTTGGTAATGATTGCGCCCTCAGTGAATGGGATCTACCCATGCCCAACCCTTTATCCACAAGTATGTAATCAAAATGCTTTGAATACTGAAAGTTCCGTCTTAAATGTTGAGTCAAAGCAATTAAATGGCTTAACTTGTTCTGAACTAATAAACATGAGCCCATTTCTGCCTTTATTTCATTGAGTGTGAATATTTTTGTATTTTGCTGCAAAAATAATAGTGTGCTTGATTCCAGGATCCTGCCTTTCTGGGCTTGGTCTCATTTTAGGTTTCTGATAAGAAATTACGGGGTTGTGATTGCCCCATTACATTTTGTTAAAGTCCTCATAGCACACATACACATTATCATTAAAGAAAATATGAGTTTCCGTTTGGCAAAACTTTACTTCTCAGGACCAAAAGTGAAAACCTAACACATGTGCTGATTCGTTTAACCACAATTATTATTATCATTATTTTGAGAGAGTGTCTTCTTTGTGGCCCAGGCTGTAGTGCAGTGTTGTAATCACAATTTATTGCTTTCTTATTTTTGTAGAGATAGGGTCTCTCTATGTATTTTTTTATTGCATTTTAGGTTTTGGGGTGCATGTGAAGAACATGCAAGACAGTTGCATAGGTACACACATGGCAGTGTGATTTGCTGCCTTCCTCCCTGGGTCTCTCTATGTTACCCAGGCTGGGTCTCAAACTCCTGGCCTCAGGCAGTTCTCCTGAGTCTGCCTCCCAAAGTGCTGGGATTACAGGTGTAAGCCAGTGCACCTGACCTGTTTAACTAAAATGTAATGACTATTTACACTGTGCAAGGCATGTTGCTTGGTATTCTGAGGATTATAAAGATGAAAAACGAGCCCCGACACTGAGATACTGGGAGTCCAGGATTTGGAATCTGACTGGTACACAATTATAATGCAAGGCAGATCATGTTAACTTTCCTGATTGGAAACTCCAGGCAGGATTACTTCACATCTGCATAGAGGAGCTTTGTAAAGGAGGGGACATTTGAGATTGTCCCTGGTTGGTGATTAAGAATTTGCCAGGCAAAGATGGCAGAACAAAGTATTCTAAGCACAGGAGTAAAAATGGAAGGGTTTGAAGGCAAAGTGGAATTAACTTATGGAGAATAGCAAGGTTTCAGTTTGGTGGTAGCACAAAGTGTGTGACCAGGAGGTGGGAGGGTGAAGCTTTGGGGGAAGTGAATGAACAGAGTCATGCAGGGAAGAAGTTGCCAGGGAGAATTTGTGCTTGGTTTGACTGACAAGGGAAGAGATTGTTGTTGTTAATATTTTTTATCACTAAAATAATATATAAAGATAATTCAAATTTAAGTGAACAGAATTTGGAAATGAATATGTGCATATAGAAGAACAAAGGGTACAAGGTTTTAGTTGGGTGGGAAGAATAAGTTCTAGCAATCTAGTGTTCAGCATAGGGATTACAGGTAGTGATACTGTGTTACATACTTGACATTTGCTAAAAGGGTCGACCTTAGGTCATCTCAGTACACACGAAAAATGGTAACTCTATAAAGAGATGGATATAATCATTAGCTTGACTATAGCAATAAGTTTACTAAGTATATTTATATCCAAACCTCATGCTATGTACACTTGATATGGTTTGGCTATGTCCCCACCCAAATCTCATCTTGAGTTGTACTTCCCATAATCCCCACATCCTGTGGGAATGACCCTGTGGGAGGTAATTGAATCATGGTGGTGGTTACCTCCATGCTGTTCTCGTGATAGTGAGTTCTCATGAGATCTGATAGTTTTATAAGGGTCTTTTTCTCTCCTTTGCTCCACAGTTCTCCTTGCTGCTTCCATGTGAAGAAGAACATGTTTGCTTCATCTTCTATCATGATCATACGTTTCCTGAGGCCTCTCCAGCCATGCTGAACTGTAAGTCAATTAAACCTATTTTCTTTATACATTATCCAGTCTTGGGTGGGCCCTTATAGCAGTGTGAGAACAGACTAATATAACACATTAAATATATGTAATTTCAATACAAGATGTTTAAAAAGTAAATTTCTGTAACCCACACCCAGATATAGCCATCGTTAATATTTTAAAATGCATCCTTTTACTCTTTTTCTGAATGAAGATATATAGTTGGCTAGTTTGATTGATTTTGAAAGTAATTGTAAGTGAAATCCCATTGTGACAGATTATTAAAAACAGTTGAATGACACAGTAACTTAGGAAAATAAAATATAATAGTATGGTGCATGGATAGGTTGGTGATTGAGCAATCTACCAATAAAAAAAAAATTAAGAATGTTGTTTCAGTGGTTGAGAGGAAACAGATCCTGAAACTAGGGTGATGGCTATGGATAAAAAAAGGAGGACTAGATGCTTCCAGGTTCCAGCCCAGATGACTGGGGAATTGGGAGTCATGAACATGGTCTTTGCAGGAGGGGAGGACTATGCGTGTATCTTTAGATGTGTTGAATGTGCGGTCAATCTGGTGGTTAGAGATGTGGGCTGGGACTCAGAGGAGGACAAAATCCAGATTTGAAATTCATTTACATTTTAAAGATTGCTTTGGTTAAAGAAGGTGAGATTTCTGAAGGAGAAAATAGGATTTTTTTTTAAATATAAGAAATGTGGGGACATCCATGTTTAGAAAATGGCAGAAGACAGGGAGCTAGAGGAGGCAGACAAGGGAAACTAGGCTGGTAGGAGAAATTCAAGAATGCAGGGTCCTTGCAGTCAAGGGTGGGCATGAATTCAAAAATGGGTTATCTGTACCCTGAAATGTTATAGAGAAGAAAAAGAGGATGAGGATTGGGCAAAAAAGATGGAAGGAAGTAATGTGTAAGGTATCTAGCACATTGTCTGGCACAGGGAAAGAACAATAAATATCAGCTATTATTTGAGCAACAGATCATTAGATTTGGCAGTTAGGAAGTGTTTACCACTTCACCCTCAGACCCAGCCAAACGTCTTGCACAGAGTTGGAGCTTATTAAGTGTGTTGTATAATATATGCAGTGAGTAGACTACAGAAGAGGAAGAGCTTAAAAGTAGTGATAACGTAGAGGTGGCCAAGTCGTAAATCTACTCATCCCAGGCAGTAATCCATTCCTCACCCCAGGGAAACTCCTTCCCTTTGAGAATGTGTCTTCTGGGGTCAACTGTGGACACAGGCTACTGTGCTTGGGGAGCCAGGCCAGCACTGTGGGGACCTGATCAAGAGAGAGATTGATGCCAATCTCCTACTAACATTTCCCAACCCCTCGCAGGTGTCACATAGAATGGGCATCAAGTACAATGGGTAACTACAGCATTGTCAGGGAGTTTGAGCTCCTGGGATTTTCTCATCTCCATGAGATCCAGGTTCTGCTATTTGCTGTGATCCTGTTGATATATGTGCTGATGCTGCTGAGCAACCTGGCCATCATCAGCCTCACTTTCCTAGACTTCTACCTTCACTCACCTACGTACTTCTTCCTCTGCAACTTCTCCCTCATGGAGATGCTGGTCACCTCCACTGTGGTACCTAGGATTCTGGTAGACCTGCTATCCATTCACAGGACCATGTCCTTGGCCGAATGCCTAACCCAGTCTTTCTTTTACTTCTCCCTGGGCTCCACCAACTTCCTGATCCTCAACATCTTGGCCTTTGGTCACTACATGGCCATCTGCCACCCCCTGCACTACCCAACCATCATGAACGGTCCAGTGTGTGTGAAGCTGGTGGTGGCCTGTTGGATGTTTGGGTTCCTCTCCATTGTCTCTCCCACACTGCAGAAAACATGGCTCTGGTTCTGTGGCCCTAATGTCATTGACCACTACTTCTGTGACTCTGCCCCACTGCTCAAGCTTGCCTGCTCTGACACCCACCACACTAAGCGCAGGGACCTCTTCCTGTCCCTGATCTTTTTGATGACCACCATGCTGCTCATCATTCTCTGCTACATCCTCATTGTGGCTGCAGTGCTGCACATCCCCTCCTCCTCTGGGGGCCAGAAGGCCTTCTCCACCTGCGCCTCTCACCTCACAGTGGTGGTTCTGAGCTATGGCAATGCCATCTTCATCTATGTGAGGCCAGGCAAGGGCCACTCCACACACCTCAACAAAATGGTGGCCCTGGTGACTGCAATGGTAACCCCTTCATCTTCACCTTCTGGAATGAGGTCAAGGATGTCATGTAGGATGTGACCAAAAGGATCTTCCTTAGAGACCCAGCACCTGGAGGTGAGAGGGTGAGCTCTTAACAGGGCTGGAGAGCACCTGGCAAGTCAAGAGTAGACTTGCCACAGGTGGGCACCCACATGCCCAGGCTGGAGCTCCTCAATCTCTTTTTTCTCAGTCTCTGCTGCTCCCTCATCTTCAGGCAAGTTTCTTCTCCTGCACTGCAGAGAACTAATGACACATACTGTTACAGTGTCTCAAAGGCAAGTTTCTGTGCATCTGAGATAGTTAAAGAACAGATAGGGAATGTGGTGTAAGTACACCGTAATAATAATTTAGCTATTATTAAAATGTCCTATTAAAACCTCTCTTTCTCAGATCTGTGGTTTTGCTTACATTCTTTTAAGTTGCTTTGTGTTTGACTTTTATTTTGGGTAGGTTTCCTTTCCAGGACCTGGTTTCAAGGTCTAGGATAGGGTTCTGAAAATGGGAGGTGCTCTAAGAAGAGCAGAGAGGCCTGGCACCCCAGCACAGGAGGAGTCATGTGCCTCTGTTGGTTCCCCTCTCTTGGACTGACTGCACCTTGATGGAAGCACCCCTCACACCCAGGCTTCCCACTTCTTCCATCTGGCCCTGATTACCAGGATGGTCGAAGCAAAGATGGCAGAAGTCAGACGAGAAGGAGTAAATGGAGTGGGACTGATATTGTGGGTCATGGGGTGGGAGGGCTGATGAAAGAGGCATTCCTTGGAAATCTGTGGATGGCATGGAAAGTCATGGGAAGATGATGGGGGCAGGAAGAGCTCCAGGTCTGGTTTCTTATACTAGACTGAGTCTCAACTAGGCTGGGCTAGAATTAGCAAAGCAGGACAAAGAGTAGATACAAACTTCCTCTCACTTCTGAAGCTGGCTCCATCCACAGATCCCTAGAGGAGAGGCCCTGCTCATAACTTGCAGTGTGAAATCGCAGTGTGGGAGCCACCCCCTAGGGCCAAGACTATGAAGAATAGTTGGAGGGGAAGCCTTCCAGGACACAGAGCCTGGAGACAACACTGTCTTACTGTCTCTGCCATTTAGCTTGATCTCTAATGTAGCTTTCTTTTTTTTCCCAACTACCACAGTACATGTTTGCATTTGTGGGCCTCACCAAAAGTGGGAAGATACTTCTGATTCTGCTGTAAAGGCCAGTAGGGAAAAGTTTTACATCCAAGAACTTTGTCTTTTTCACTTCTCAAGAGACTAATTACTTGCCCTCCTTACAAACTTCCTGAAAAAACTGAAAAGCTAAGTGGGAAGTAATTATCTCCTTCTGAGATGCAGATACGTTTCCTTGGCTTCTTCTCCTAAAATAATCAGCACAGGAGTCACTCAGTGTCCTCTCTGGGGACTCCTTCCTGCACTTTCTCATCTCTGCACATTCCCCTCTTTAAAAACTAAAAATAATCAATATCCTGTAGCCAGCTATTGCCTGTTTTTCATAGGATTTCCTTGGAAGTGGGGTCTCTGGTCAGTTTTGGGGAAGGTATGACTTGCTTTGGGCCTTCGCAGCCATCACCCAATGTAATCCAGCATCACGCAGCCTGACCAGCCCCACAGCCTTGCCTGTGGTTCTTTGCTCTTCAAAGTGTGCTTCTTGAGGCTGGGCACAGTGGCTCACACCTGTAATCCTAGCACTTTGGGAGGCCAAGGAGGGTGGATGATGAAGTCAGAAGATTGAGACCATCCTGGCCAGTGTGGTGAAACCCCATCTCTACTAAAAATACAAAAAAATTAGCCAGGCATGGTGGTGTGTGCCTGTAATCTCAGCCACTCAGGAGGTTGAGGCAGGAGAATCGCTGGAACCCGGGAGGCAGGGGTTGCAGTGAGCCGAAATTGTGTCACTGCACTCCAGCCTGGGTAACAAAGTGAGACTGTCTCAAAACAAACAAACAAACAAACAAAACCCAAAGTGTCCTCCTTGAAACAGCAGTAGCCTCTCCTGGGAGCTTATTGGAAATGCAGAGTCTCAGGCTGAGATCTCCTAAATCAGAATCTGCATTTGTGCAAGATACCCAGGTGATTCCTGTGCACATTAATATCTGAGTAACGCTGATCTAGACAATATGCTGATGGAATTTTCAAACAGGAAATTGTCTAAGAAAGCCCTTGTTCCAGTCTCAACAATGTGAAGGGCATTGGAAGAGGGAATTTGGGGATGCATCTGCTATTATTGGAGGCATTTTTTTCTTAGTAACTTTTATTCCAGGTCCTATTTCTGGAGACAGTAACCAGGATACAGACCCTGAAGATTCTCATCCTAGTCTGACTTTAAACTTCTTGAGTGACTCTATCGAGAGGCCCAGCCTCTGGTTCACTGTTAGAATTCCATGTGGATGTGACCTGGAGATGTCTGGATATATTGGTTCCAGACATTTCCTATATTTCAAATGTTCATGGAATCAATTGTGAGAAATAAAATACAAATTTCTTTCCTTCTTTTCAACTTTTATTTTGGGTTCAAGGGGTACATGTGCAAGTTTGTTGCATGGATAAATTGCATGTTGCTGGAGTTTCGTGTGCAGATAACTTTGTCACCCAAGTAATCAGCATAATACCTAATAGACAGTTTTTTGATCCTCACCCTCCTCCCTCCCTCCACCCTCAAGTAGGTCCCAGTGTCTACAATACCCTTCTTTGTGCCCATGTATACTCAATGTTTAGCTCCCATTTATAAGAGAAAACACGGTATTTGGTTTTCTGTTTCTGTCTTAATTTGCTTACGATAATGGCTTCCAGCTCCATCTGAGTTTCTGCAAATGACATGACTTTACTCTTTTTTATGGCTGCATAGTATTCTCTGGAGTATATGTACCACGTTTTCTTTATCCAGTCCACCATTAATGGGCATCTAGGTTGCTTCTATGTCTTTGATGTTGAAACACAATCTTTAAAAGTGACATTGAATCTATACTTGCTTTCTGTCAATATATGTTTCTTTCAAGTGATGGAGACTAAGTGTGCAATAACTGTGAGGAACGGGGTTACCAGAATTGCTGACAGATATGTACTCCGGAGGGGTTTAGAGGAGGCAAAACTGAGCAACTTCAGATCCTGGAGAGTCCAACTTTGAATCAACCCCTCTTTTAATTCAGATGGAAGAAGAAAATTTCAAAGGTGGGGAGATGGAAAAACAGTTTGAAGAATCAGATTCTGCTGTCAGTTCTGCCGTTTCTTTGACCAACTCATTTTTCCTCTCAGCCGTGTTTCCCTTGCCCACTAAAGTGGATCAGGAACACTGCTTGCTGCAGTTTCAGAATCAGAAAGTTTCCTTCTGAGCTCTCATACACTCTATAGGAAAACACCTTATGAAATTAACCATACTTTTTAATTTTCCCAGCACATGGGGAACTCTTTGAGGTCAGACTCCGCATTTCTTTCATCTTTAACAGTCACTGCTGTTAAAGTGTTTTGCTCATGATGGGTGATCTCGGTGAATCTTTATTTAGTTGAGTTACTATGAGGGTAAAACCGAATGGAAAATATATGTAAAGGTGGTTCATAAAGTATAAAAGTATACAAAAGTAAGATATTGCTAGTAGAACTGTTCTTACTTTACTCATCCTTCTTTCATTTACTCTACAAATACTTTTCTAGGTAGCCAGCAGAGAATAATTAGAGGGAAAAAACATCAATTCATTCAATAGCTACTGCAGACACCAGAGTCATTGCTCGGTTATATAATTAAAGAACAAGCAAAATTTTGGTCCAGAAATGGAAACTAGGAACTTAAAAAGACCCTCCGACTTGAGTTAGGGGTATTTCAGCAAGCAAGAAAGACACTTCCAGAAAGCCAGAGAAAGGGGGGCCTCATTTAGGAAGGAGTTAGCTTGGAGTGAACGGGGTCACGAGAAGAACCAGTGGGCTGCTAAGTGAGCCCCATCTTCCAGGCTCCAAAGGAGTCGACCTCTTTCACTTCCACATAGTGGATTTTTTAAATGCTTGACATTTGTGATAAATTAGTAGTTTTGTTGTTTTCAAGTATGTGTAGCTACGAATAAACTTCTGATTGTAGTTTATATATCACAAATTGGGAAATGGTGTTTGGTAAAAGTGTATTTACAGAAACAATGTGTCAGAACAGCTTAAATCGGGGCTACTTTAGAAAATTCTGCATCGGCAAAAGCTAAGGGAACTCCGTGATCCTGAGGTCAAAGTAACTGAAAGATTTTTAACTTTCAGGCGATAGTTGGAGGAAGGAGGACAGCAGAGCTGATGCTTTATTCCAAAGGCAGCATGGCACATCATAGGCTTTCAAGTATTTTATTCGCACACATATGTGAATGTAACATAATGTTCATATTTTATGTAATGTGTAGCATAATATGTATGTGTGTAAAATAGGATATATAATGACTGAATAAATGAACTTACTAGATGTATTACAATCCCTTGCCTTCAGGCAAACTAATGTTTCTAATCATACAGAAGCAAAGTCTATCCTTCTAAAACTCTGAATATTTCCTCTCTGGAAACCATGTAATTCCTCACTAGTGGAGATTTATCTTGTTTAATTTTTCTGTTTCGTCTTTCTCTGAGGCAAAGGTACCTGATGAATTGCACTCTCACACTGTCCACCTTATATTCGATGTGCTACTCAGGTGTCATCTCACCAGGAAGCCGTCGCTCAGCCCCGTCTGGTCTCAGCGTTGCTCTCCTGTGTGCTCATAAACCTTCTGGGATTCCACTGTTGCATATTCCCTGCTGTGCTGGAAACAGCCCTTTATCACCCTATCACTCTTTCCTTCCTTAGGCCAAGAGCTTTGTCAGGTTAAGGACCATTTATGCCATCTTTACCTTCTTACCCTATACCTGTTGCAGTGCCTGAGACACACAGCCTACTCATATTGGTGAAATGAATGAATAAATGGATGAATAATTATACAAGGACCCAGCCCCCCACCCCATACACTCACACACACATTGAAAAACAATCGGTTTGTTTTTGGTAAGGTTTGCTTCTTCCCTTGATCCCAGGTAGCCCAAGGACTCGTGTTGCCTCCATTCAGCAATGGATGCACATTGTGACAGAGAAGCACACCCTGAACACATACACACATGCACACACACATGCACACACACATGCACACACATGCATATGCACATGCATACACACATGCACACATATGTACACACATACATACACATATATATATACTGGGACTGGATACTATCTCTTCATCAGAGAGCACTTCTTGACTACTCTTCCTTAAATGCAAAGCACATGCACTTCCCTTTACTGAAAGCTCTGGGCTACTCTCAGAGTTCTTATGGCTGCCAGGGGATATAGGGAACACTTCCATGGTGGCCCTTAAAAGCTTTGGACCAGACTGTGCAGCACTGAGGGCTCACTGTAGGAAAAGAAAACTAAAGAAACTCAACAGTGGTCTTCCCACTTGCCAGAAGTCTCTCTCCTTACAGAACTGCTCGATGGAGACAGGCCGGGGGCCCCTGCACCCTGGGCTCATTATCGTGCTTTGCGAAGGCCTTTCAGCCTCTGCATCCGCCCCTGTAGCACTGTTTTAACTATTTCATTGCGGAAAGTAAGGATAAAGGGATTGAGGAAGGGGGTGAGAACTGAAGTCACCAAGGCCACAACCTTCCTGACTTGCGCAGAGTGAGCTGTGCCAGGCCTGACATACAGAAAGATGGTACTACCATAACCAATGAAGACCAGTGTGAGGTGAGACCCACAGGTGGAGAAAGTCTTCTGGCGGTTGCTGGCAGAGGGGATCCGTAGCACAGTGGTCACTATGTAGCCATAGGAGATGAGGGTCACCAGGAAGGAGCTGAGGACAAAGGCCAAGGCCATCAGAAAGTCCCAGAATTCCAGTAGGTGGGTGTCAGAGCAGGACAACTGTAGGAGAGGTGCATTGTCACAGAAGAAGTGGTTAATGACGTTGCCGTGGCAATAATCAAGATGAGCTCGAGAGAGGACAGTGGGTACCATGGCTAGGAAAGGAACTGCCCAGGCAGCCCCAGCCAGCTGGACACACACAGCCCGGCTCATCAGCGTGCCATAGCGCAGTGGGTGGCAGATAGCCACAAAGCGGTCAAGGGCCATATCTGCCAGGATGAGGAAAGAGGTGGAACCCAAGGAAAAGTAGAAGTAGAACTGGACCATGCAGCCAGTGAAGGTAATGACTTTGTGGGGGACCAGCAGGTCTGAGAGCATCCTGGGCACTGCAGTCATGGTTACCAAGATCTCCAGCAAGGAAAAATTGCCCAGGAAGAAGTACATGGGTGTATGTAAGTGGGTGTCAGCTACAATCGTAACTATGATGATGGTGTTTCCCATGAAGGCGAGAAGGTAAAGCACAAGGAAGGGGCCATACAGAAGAGCCTGCAGCTCGCCGAGGGAAGAGAAGCCTGAGAGGACAAATTCCGAGGGCTGACTCAGATTTGCCATGATCCATGGGCTGGGGTCCTACAGGCAAGGGAAACAAAAGGCAGCTGGAGAGGCAGAAACAGAGAGAGACAGAGAACCACTGACCACGAAACAGAAGAAACAGGGACAGAGACAGAGAATAGAGAGAGAGAGGCAAGTAGCCAGCGAGTGATAAACAGAAAAGCAGAAAGAAAAAGCAATAAAGATAACAGAATTGGAATAGGAGAATCATAGCAAAACAGAGTGAAGGTATCCGAGAAGTGAAAGACATAGAAAGCCATTGTGAAAAAGAGAGAAGGCTGGGAATAGTGGCTCACGCCTGTAATCCCAGTGGGCTGGGGCGGGTGGATAACTTGAGGTCTGGAGTTCAAGACCAGTGTAGCCTGCATGATGAAACCCTGTCTGTACTAAAAATACAAAAATAAGCCAGGTGTAGGCACCTGCAATCTCAGCTACCTGGCAGGCTGAGGAATGAGAATCACTTGAACCTGGGGGGCCACGGTTAGAGTGAGCTAAGATTGTGCCACTGCACTTCAGCCTGGGTGACAGAGCAAGACTCCATCTCAAATAAAAAAAAAAAAAAAAAAAAGAAAGAAAGAAAGAAAGGAAGAAAGAAAAACAGGAGCAGATTAAGGAAGACCACATGGCAACAGACATCCACATGGCAAGAGACATTGACATTTAGGGAGAAAACAAGAAGGAAATAACAGAGGAACAGAGAAGGAACAGAAAAAATTCAAATATAGGAGAGGGAGAAAAAGAGAAAGACAGGAAAGGGAAGAAAACAGAAAAAAGAGAGAGAGGGAGAGAAAACATTAGTGCACATGACCCAGAAGCTCCCGATGTAGGCCGATGTGTCTGTGTCACACCCAGAGGTGGTACCCCAAGACCCCTTTTAAAGGGTCCCTGCAAACCTTTCTGAGCTGTCTCTCTGAAGACCCTCACTTGTATACATTTCTCTAGCAGTGATTATGAAATTAGTGATAGTCAGAGGTTTGAGTCCAGAAATTAGCTTTCTCTAGAGTGGCCCTCTGCTTAATGTTTGCAAAGATGGAGAGCAGAAAGGGTACAGGAGGTCAGGGAGTAAGTCCTGGAAATCCAAATGAATCCCCGTCTCTCCTAAAAATACAAAAAATTAGCAGGTAGTGGTGGTGGGTGCCTGTAATCCCAGCTCTCTGGGAGGCTGAGACAAGAGAATTGCTTGAGCCCAGGAGGCAGAGGTTACAGTGAGCAGAGATCGCATCAGCCATCTACCCGAGGTCACAGCTTTGCCTCCCTAGTACACTTCCCCTCCTGCGTTGGTGGGAAGCACAAGCTATGGAGTTGGCCCGCCTGTGTTAGGAATCTGGCTCCAGACTTGCTTGTCATGGGTCATAAATCTGCTCTTCTTTGTTACTTACTGTCTCAGAGCCTCCATTTACTCAGCTATAGAGTAAAGGTAATACTAGTACTTAGACTCTAAGGTGATTATAAAATTAAATAAGTAAACTTTTTAGGGCAGTGACTGGCACATACTAGCTAACATATCATTGTTGTTGTTGTTATTGTTATTGTTATCAAGTTCTTATTGTTGCAACTGTCAATAGAACGCAGATTTTCTTGGGCCATCGTCTCTCCACACTTCTTGTTGCCAGGGTGTGTGTGTGTGTGTGTGTGTGTGTGTGTGTGAAGATCTTTACAGCTTTACACTGTTCCTTGGAATTTCAGTTCACTAAAAGGGTACTTTAAAACATTTCAAACACACACAAACGTAAGTATTTACAACACACACTGTAAGGAGTGGAAGGTGTGAAGCTGTGTATAGTTATACTCTGACCCTTTCTCCAGCCCCATAAAAGCTTCATTTGGGGCTGTGTCCTGGCTACCCAGCAAAGGCATTCTAGTTTTAAAAAGCTTTGTACTGGCTGGGTGCAGTGGCTCATGCTTGTAATCCCAGCACTTTTGGAGGCCAAGGTGGGCAGATCACGAGGTCAGGAGTTTGAGACCAAGCTGGTCAACACAGTAAAACCCAGTCTCTACTAAAAATACAAAAATCAACTGGGTGTGGTGGCGGGTGCCTGTAATCCTAGCTACTCTGGAGGCGGAGGCAGGAGAATTGCTTGAACCTGGGAAGTGGAGGTTGCAATGAGCCAAGATCACATCACTGCACTCGAACTTGGGCGACAGAGCGAGACTCCATCTCAAAAAATAAAATAAATAAATAATGCCTTGAACCCATGCCACTGACAAACCTTAATGGTAAGTCTAAATCTAGCCCAGCACTGACCAAATTCAAACTCAGTCCTTATGTTTGTGTTGCATGAGAACCTGACTGACACAGAGACTTCCACCACTCACCTTAACCTCCAAGCATGGTGTCCTCTTTGTAAACCGCTCTCACTTAGGCATTCATACCTGGAGATGCCTGCCTGCTGGCCTCACTCTGTAATGTGAGTGACATCAGAGATGCAGGCTCTTGACCTTGGGTTGTGTCTTGCAGCTGGCAAGGGTGGACAGGGCCTTTGTGCACAGCTGGGAAGGGGTGGCACTGCTGGGTGAGCTAAAACTGCCAGTCCTTATGCGGATTTTCTAACCCAGCGCCTACCCTGTATCACTACAAAGCCAGGGGTAGCAGCTTTGATGTGGGGCTGGGAGATGGAAAAGAAGTCCCTCAGGAGATCAGAGGGGAAAGGTACTGGTTCTGTCCCTTTTCCTCAAGGATGAATGTTCTCAGCTCTTTCTCTCATCCACATCTGCAAGTCCTCCATGACTTAGTGATGTTTACAGTTTACAGAAAGACTCCAGCCAAGTGTTTTCTGTGGGAATGACAGGGAGCCAAGGAGCCCTCTGGGGACTTCTGAGGCACTGGTGTTACTCCTTAGAATAATGAGATGCCCTCTGTTTTGAGGAAGTAACATTTGAGAAAAAGATCTGAATAAAGAAAGGGATAAAGACCTAGATACACCCAAGTAGCTGATGGCTTAGGATCAGCACCTTTGCAGTACGTGTCTCCCGGCCCTTCTCCTCCTATGACCATGGAAAAAATATGAGATCATGGAACAAATGCAAAGGAATTTTCCCAGCTGGACTAAAATTACGACAGCCCGGGTACCTAGTCAGGACTGGATCCAGAGTTTCCATTTGGAGACAATATTTGGATATTTTGTCTCCAAATGGATTCAGGGTTTAGGGATCTAGGGAGGCAGGGAATGGAAGCCTGGGACCATAGCAGCCTCTTGTTAAAATTCTCCAAAGAAAGTTTCATCTGGAGAAGTCTGGGAACCAAACAGTGAGATTAATAAGCAGATCTCTGCCTCCAGAGGCAGGGTCCTTGGTGGATACATCTTGGGATCTGGCTCCTGTGAGAAGATGTGCACCCTGGGGTAAAGGTAAAGAGAATATGGTGAGGCCACTCTAAGCTTCCAGCTCTCTAGTAAACTCTGAGTCACAGTCTTTCATCTCATAGTCATTTAAGCTTTATGCATACCTACAGCTCAACCCTATCCACTCTGAGACAGAAATAATGACTCAGAGATTTCAAGGAGAAACTGTGCAGTGAAAATAATGCAAATGGGCCCTGAGTTTAAGAACAGCCAGGGCTGGAGGGGTTGGCTAGGCAATCTTTCTGTAGGACTTGAGCCTAGAACTGAAATTTGGAGCTGATCCATTGAAAGCAAAGAAGAAGCCGGGCGTGGTGGCTCATGCCTATAATCCCAGCACTTTGGGAGGCTAAGGTGGGTAGATCACTTGAGGTCAGGAGTTCAAGAACAGCCTGGCTAACATGGTGAAACCCCATCTCTACTAAAAATACAAATAATTAGCCAGGTGTGGCAGTGGGCACCTATAATCCTAGCTATGTAGGAGGCTGAGGCAGGAGAATTGCTTGTGCCCAGGAGGTGGAGGTTGCAATGAGCCAAGATCGCGCCACTATACTTCAACCTGGGCAGTAAAGCAAGATTTGGTCTCAAAAAAAGAAGGAAAGCAAAGAAGAATGTAGGTCACAAGGCTAGAAATGGAGGAGGAAGAAGAAAGTAGCCAGTTGTTGACAGGGAGCTCACGTAGGCAGACAGGTGTTGGCCAGAGCAGGGCTGGAGGCAGGGGCTTGGGAACTGAAAGGCAGGAGGATAGACAGGGGCTATGTGGGCCTTCATGACTATTCATTTTCTATTGCTTCTGTAGCTAATTACCACATATTTTGTACACAGCAAACAACACAAATTTATTACCTGACAAATTCTGCAGGACAGTAACTTGACACAGGCCTCAATGAGCTAAAATCAAGATGTCATGAGGGCTACCTTCCTTTTTGGAGTCTCCTTGCTTCTCCAGCTTCTAGAAGCTGCCCACATTCCTTGGTTTATGGTTCCCTCAGCCATCTTCAAAGCCAGGCACAGGTGTCTCTCAGAACGGACTTCTGTCATCATGTAGCTCTTGACTGAACTCAGAAGGAAAGTTTCTCCACATTTACAAATCCCTAAGATTAGATTCAGCCCACCTGGAACACCCAGGCTAATCCCCTCATCTCAAGGTCTTCAACACAGTCACACCTGCAAAGTCCCTTTTACTATGTCAAGCAACATTTTCACAAATTCCAAGGATTAGGGCTTGGACATCTTTGGGGGGCATTCCTTGGCCTGTTGCAATAACTACCATGCAGCTTTGGTGCCTGGTGAACCACTTATCTGACCAGATCCATTCATCTTTGCACAACTGTGTTCATTCCTTATAAATATGGAGCATTAACTCTGTTAAATGATCATAACATAGAGAAGCTTCCATAATCCAGGGGAATAATCCTAAATCTGTCCTTATTTCCTTTGGGGTTAAAGGCACATGGAGCAATGTTAACTCTTGTTTCCTTTCTAGCCTTTCCGAAGAGAAAGAGCTAGAATTGAAACAGGGATGGGAATTATTACTCTAGTCTCCCGGGCTTTCCTGGCTTTGAAGAACTGCCCCATTTCCTTTTTGTTAACTTCTTTTACTTGATGAGATGAATGAGAAATGCAGTCATTTGAGTTGACGAAGTCTTCAGTCTCCCAGGGATTTCTTCCTCAGTCAACTCTTCATCTTTTCACACAGTTAATTAATGGACATTTCCTTTGTGATTGCTTCGTTGATCCGGATTGATTCTTTGTTTTTTTTTTTGAGACGGAGTTTCGCTCTTGTTACCCAGGCTGGAGTGCAATGGCGCAATCTCGGCTCACTGCAACCTCCGCCTCCTGGGTTCAGGCAATTCTCCTGCCTCAGCCTCCCGAGTAGCTGGG